TGTGTCGGGGGAGCACACCCCCCCTATAGTAAAAAAAAAAAAAAAAATATATATATATATATATATAAAACTTTTCTCAAAATTCAATTACATGGCCCAGCCCATGGCCGTGTGGTTAAGGTGCTGGATCCCACATAGCTGACCACGTGGTTCAAGTCCTGGACACAGCAGCTTGAGAAACACCCCCAGCACGTGTAGGTGCATGTCCAAAATCCCAACAGGGGGGAGAAGTGAGAGAGGAGGAGTTGTATCATGGCCACGCACTAAAAGGGGTGCTTTCTCACTGTCCCTCACTCGGTCTCCCTCTCTGTCTCTCTCCAGTGAGTGCCCATGCCCTCTGGCAAAATTTAAAATAAAATAAATTATGCAGAAAAGAAAAACAAGCAGGGGGGATGGAAGCAGTGATGGGATGGGATGAAGGAGTGGAGGCGCAGAGCAGGCAGGTGCTACCCGCCCATGTGCTGCTTGTCCGCGGGAGACAGGGAAACACAGATACCCGTCAAGCAGCAGACGTGTGGTTTGAATTAGAGGCCCGTGTACAAGCTAGGAAAACAGGCCGCTTGGTAGCAGGACAAGGGAGGAAGATCATTATTATTAAACACCTGCCACGTGCGAGGCACTGAATGAGTCCTCGCACCATCCATCAGTTCTAGAGGGAGGCCTCAGCAACCTCGCCTTACACCAAGGAAAGTAAGGACCCACGCGGAGCTGGCACATAGCACAGTGTTTTCAGAACCAAACTCACCCTGAATAGATAGAAAGCTTGTATCGCATCTGGCTGAAATGAGACTTTTCTCAACATCTTTTATTCTCAAAGGAATGCCTAAAGTCATTCAAACAAAATAAATAGCAACAACAGTGGCTCCCAGAAAGGGACACAGAATCTAATCCCCCTTTGCCCAAACTAGTCATGGCCCCCTGAGTCCCCTTTTTTTTTTTTTTGAGAGGTTTTCGCTATAGGGCGCATGCGCTCGCCAGACAGACAGAGACAGAAAGTGAGAAATCACCCCCCGGGGGGATGGCCACATTGCAATCCCTTCTCCTCCATTCTCCTCTCGGGATCCTGTGCACGCACACACTCCTGGTGTGAGTTTTAAGCCACCGGGTCCGGGACTTGAACTGCGGTCGACTACGTGGGAGTCCAGCGATATAGCCATTACGCTAACTGCTGGTTGCCCTGAGTCCCCTTCTTGAGTAGGCCTCGTCGTTGGCCTACCAAGGCCAATTGTAGCAGTTTACCAAGCATTCCCCCACCGCATCACTGATGTATAATCAAGTTCCTCTTAGGAATTTCCCATCCAGGGACCAGCAGTTAGCGTAATGGCTATGTCGCTGGACTCCCATGTAGTGGATCGTGGTTCGAGTCCTGGACCCAATGGCTTAAACTCATACCGGGCGCGTGTGCGTGCATGCCCAAGATCCCGAGAGGAGAATGGAGGAGAAAGGATTGTGGCATGGCCATCCACCCTGGGGGTGGGGGAGTGATTTCTCACTTTCTCTCTCTCTGTCTCTCTGTCTGTCTGGCGGTGCACACGCCCTATAACAAAAAAACAAAACAAAACAAAACTCCAAAAAAAAAAAAAAAGGAATTTCCCATGCACTGATTCCTCTGGCTGCACATCCCCACCTACCCCTCACTGTACTCAGCACTAGCTGAGCTCAGTTTTGTAATGAAATCTCCCTCCTCTATGCAGTAGCCTGGATAAAATCTGTCTTGCCATTTTTAACAAGTGTCTAGTGCCATTTCTCTATGATAATGCCTGGGGGTAGAAGGGAAATGTGTTACTACATACCCTTTGTACCATTTGAAATTTGATTCGTAGGAACATCTTACCTTTATTATACACACACACACACACACAGAAGTTTTAAGT